TGCCAACTCGAGCTCAGTTCAATATGAAGCTAGTTCAATTGTCAAAATAATAAAAGGCTAACTCAGTTTCCGTATAATATAATCCTATCTCGCATTAAATTCGAATTCAAGTTTTCGTAAATTAAAAAAGAAGTTTAAGTCGATCAGAATATTAATTCATACTTTTTAATGATTAATTAGTGATTAATAATTATTAATAAAATAAGAAATAGAATAAAAAACAAATAATAAAATAAATGAAAATAAAAAATATTATTAAAAAAGAAAAAAATTAATTTAGCCTTGAATTATTTATTACTAATATTATTTTTTTTATTATAATTTTTTTATTTTGTTAATCATTAATTAATCATTATAAAATATTAATTAATATTCCGATCGAGTTAAAAATATTCAAGTTTTCGTAAAATAAATAATTTTTAACTCGATCGGAATATTATTTAATATTTTGTAATGATTAATTAATGATTAACAAAATAAAAAAATTAATAAAAAAATTATAATAAAAAAAATAATATTAGTAATAAATAATTCAAGGCTAAATTAATTTTTTTCTTTTTTAATAATATTTTTTATTTTCATTTATTTTATTATTTGTTTTTTATTCTATTTCTTATTTTATTAATAATTATTAATCACTAATTAATCATTAAAAAGTATGAATTAATATTCTGATCGACTTAAACTTTTTTTTTAATTTACGAAAACTTGAATTCGAATTTAATGCGAGATAGGATTATATTATACGGAAACTGAATTAGCCTTTTATTATTTTGACAATTGAACTAGCTTCATATTGAACTGAGCTCGAGTTGGCATTTTATTATTCTGACAAATGAACGGGCATCTTATCAACGGGAGGCGTCGATATTAATAGTTATTTCAGAAAAAAAAAATGAAGAGAAAATTTTTTAATTCGCGCAAATTTTTTTTTAAAATGAAGCCACGTCGCTTTAAAAAAAAAAAAAATTTCCCAACAATTTTTCGGGTTTTTTTTTCGTTTAATAAAAATTAATTCGTTCGCAGTTATTCGCTCAACATTTGAATGACTGCGTGAGAAATATCACAATTTTAAATGTCATAGAGAGAGATAGAGAGAAAGAGCTAGAAGATGAGAAACAAAGATATGATCTATTATGTTTCAGGGCAGATTTAAAAGAAAGAGAGATAGTAATTTTTTTTAAAAAATCTTTTGTTGCAAAAAAACCTATTTTTTTGCGACGTGATTCATTTTTGTTAAGAAAAAAAACAACCGCCCATAAAAAATGATTTTTATTCAGAAAAATGAAATTCTGATTGAAAAAAAAAAAACGCGTTTCAAACAGAAACGAGAGTAGAATATATTAGGCTCATTGTATAGTAAAAATTTGTTGTCTATTCAATTGTTTTAAAAATAATTTTATTCGCTTTACAATAAATGTAATTATATATACACATAAAAGATGGAAGAATCAGGGACAAAAAAAAAAAATTTTTTTTCCTTTTTTTTGAAAAAGGGGGTTGGGGAAGGAAGAGAAGAAAAAAGTGGGAAAAGTAGAAACGGGACAAAAAAAAAGAAAGAGATAGAAAAATAAAATTAAATACAAAATATAAATTATTAATAAAAAAAAAAAAAAAATTTATTGTATTCGCGAGCGAAGAGTGAACGTTATTATTCTTGCGTTAGAACGAATATATTATATATAAAAATATATATAAATATGATGATCATTATAAAATACATATTATATTTAGATTTATATGAATATATAATATGTATAAGAGCCAGAGTTTTATGTATAGACAAAAAGAAAAAAAAAAAATCATTCACAAAAAAAAAAAAAAATGACGACTAACGATGACGTCACTTTATTACTATTATTATTATTATTATCATAAAAAAAAATAAATATTATCCGTTTCTGACTATATTGCGTATTATTGTAATTATCGTTATGATTATTGTAGGCGGCTTTAGTATAAAATATATCTTCGAAGCGATTGTTCAGTATTACGCGAGATTCAACATAAAGAAAATCAGAGATCCTTTTAAAGGGCATGCAGAAAAACGAAAATCGTGACTTGCCATCACTTTTGTTCTCGCGATTTATATTTTCATTGATTTTTTTTCTATCCTTCGATTTTCTTTTTATTTTTATAATAAAAGAAGAAAAAAAAATTTTTTTTTTATCTCGAGAACAAAATTGAGAGAGCAGTGAATTTTTTTTAAAATAAAAAATGATTGAGAGAAACATTGACAAAGTCGATGAAAATAAATCTCAAAAAGTGCTTAGTATCTCTGTGAAAAAGAATTAAAATTGAGATAGTGATTTTATTTTTGGTAAAATGCGTTTTTTTTATTCTTTTTTTTTTTTTTTTTTTAATAAAACGCTACTTTTACCGAAAGTAAATGTTTTTCCTCAAGGCCTCGAAAAAAAAGAAATTTTTTTTTTGTGAAGTATTTTTGTCGCACTTTTATGAATCATCGTACGACTACTAATATCTTGTATATTAAATTGATTATTATATAATTATTCAATTTTATTTTTACTAATATAATTGTACACTATAAAAATATAAATATATTCCTCCCATTATTATTGTTCGCGCATCCAGCGTTATTTTGTAAATGAATAATAAAAGCTCTTGACAAATGTGAATTTTAATTGTTTTCTTTTTCTTTTTTTTTTGGGATTTTCTTTATTTCCATTTAATTGAAGTGATTTTTAAACTACTTCAATTTTTTCTTATACAATTATTTTTTTATTACTACATATTTTTATATTTTTAATTAATATAATTAATAATTATTAATTAATAATTAATAATTCATTGATAATTCATTGATAATTAATCACTTAATGTAATATTTAATGTGACATTTGTTAATATCAACTAATTATTATTTAAATAACAATTAGTAAAAAAAAAAGTTTAAAAAAACTTTTCTCTAAATTTAAATTAGTTAGAAATTCGATCAGTAATTCAATTTAGTAGAAAATTTCACCAATTTTTTTTTTTTTTTAGTAAAACATAAGTAATTTAGTATTTTTTTTTACTAAAATTTATTCTCACTAAAGTTTTTAGTAAAAAAATTACTAAAAATTAGTCGCAATTTTTACTAATTTAATTAGTTAACGTATCGTTATTAATTTTTTTTGTTATTCAATTTTTTTCACTAAAATTTTAGTAAAAAGTAAACTAAAAATTGGTAGAAATTGTTACTAATTTTTTTTTAGTAACATATAACTAATTTAGTAATATTTTTATTACTAAAAGATTTTTTTAAAAAAAATTTTAGTGAAAAATACCTAAAAATTGGTGAAAAATTTACAATTACTGAAATTAGTGAACAAATTTTCACTAATTTTTTCAGTTTTACTAAAGTTTTTAGTAAAAATTGACTAAGAATTAGTAGACAACTTAAAATTGAAGGAAATTTTTAATCTTTTACTTAAATTAGTTAGAAAATCAATCAGTAATTAAATTTAGTAGAAAATTTCACCAATTTTTTTTTTAGTAAAACATAAGTAATTTAGTACTTTTTTTTACTAAAATTTATTCTCACTAAAGTTTTTAGTAAAAAATTACTAAAAATTAGTCGCAATTTTCACTAATTTAATTAGTTAACGTATCGTTATTAGTTTTTTTTGTTTTTCAATTTTTTTCACTAAAATTTTAGTAAAAAGTAAACTAAAAATTGGTAGAAATTGTTACTAATTTTTTTTTAGTAACATATAACTAATTTAGTAATATTTTTATTACTAAAAAATTTTTTTAAAAAAAATTTTAGTTAAAAATACCTAAAAATTGGTGAAAAATTTACAATTACTGAAATTAGTGAACAAATTCTCACTAATTTTTTCAGTTTTACTAAAGTTTTTAGTAAAAAAAATTACCAAAAATTAGTAGAAATTTTCACTAATTTAATTAGATAATCAAACGTTATTAACTTTTTTTGTTTTTCAATTTTTTTCACTAAAATTTTAGTAAAAAGTAAACAAAAAATTGGTAGAAATTGTTACTAATTTTTTTTTAGTAACATATAACTAATTTAGTAATATTTTAATTACTAAAAGATTTTTTTAACAAAAATTTTAGTAAAAAATACCTAAAAATTGGTGAAAAATTTACAATTGCTGAAATTAGTGAACAAATTTTCACTAATTTTTTCAGTTTTACTAAAGTTTTTAGTAAAAATTGACTAAGAATTACTAGAAATTTTTACTAATTTAATTAGTTAACGTAGCGTTATTAATTTTTTTTGTTTTTCAATTTTTTTTCACTTAAATTTTAGTAAAAAGTAAACTAAAAATTGGTAGAAATTGTTTTTCATTTTTTTTTACTAACATATAACTAATTTAGTAACATTTTTTTACTTAAAGCTTTTTTTTACTAAAGTTTTAGTTAAAAATAACTAAAAATTGGTAAATAATTTGACTTACTGAAATTACTGAACGAATTCTCACAGGTTTAGTAAAAAAAAAGACTAAAAATTAGTAGAAATTTTTACTAATTTGAATTAATGAACCAATTCTTTCTAAATTTTTCAGTTGCAAATTTTTTTTTACTAAATTTTTAGTGAAAAATGAATTGGTAGAAATTTTTTACTAATTTTGTTTAGTAAAATATTTCTACTCTGGTAACGAAAAATTCAGTTACTAAATTTAGTTACTAAAAGTTTTGGTAATTCAAGTTTTAGTAAAAAAAAAATGGTTAAAAATTGGTAGAAATTAGTAATTCAAATTCGTAGACGAATTTTCACTAATTTTTTTTCAATTTTACTAAAAGTTTTAGTTTTAGCCAAAAAAAATGACTAAAAATTAGTCGAATTTTTCACTAATTTAAATTAATGAACTAATTCTCACTAATTCAAATTCAGAGAATAGTAATTAAAATACAATTACTATACAATCGTAATTAATTTCGTTCTTCTAATTTCTTGTAAATTAGTTTTGTATTTTTACAAAAAATTTTGCTTGTTGCTAAATAAATGTAATTAAATTTCAAAGACTTGTTAATTAAATTGTAGAGATTTGTAAATTAAATTTTAATATTTCACTGTTAATATTCGTATAATTATTGGTTTTTTTTTTGTTTTTTTTTATATAGAAAAGACTTGTTAAAAGAAAAAAAGAAGAAGAAAAACGAAGGGAAAATAATGTCTTAAATCTCTAAGAAAAAAAAAATGACTTGGAGTGACAGGCTTAAAATCATAAAATTATTAGCCGTCTGTCTATCAAAAAAAAAAAAGGGCGTTAATTTACATCAACGAGATTTCCAAGCTGATCGGCTCGTGTTATAAAACATTGTACGGAAAATGCTGGTTGCGAAAGCATTCCACCTTCCTTGTTGTTGGCATTTTTTACAGGAATATAATTTGATGGAACAATGAAGGGTTTACTAATGTGTCCAGGCGTAAGAAGTTGAAATAATTGACTGCCAACATTAATGGGTGTGTTTTCTTTATCCTTGAGATTAGACTGCGCCATAAATTCTTCCGATGGACGTGTCTCATTCTTCCTTATCCAGCTTGCTATCATGCCTGTAAAAAAAATTCAATTCCTTCAATCAGCAATATTTAAATAAAAAAATTATTGTTACTAATTAGTAATTTTTACAAAAATTAATTTATATTTATATTTACTAATTGGTAGCAAAATCAGATTTTAAAAATGAAGAACAGGAAAAAATTTGCACACAAAAAAAAGGAGATGATTTTTTCGAGCTGAAATAATGTGGTTTGGTTTTTTGACCTTGATCGAACATCGACCCCGGAAGTTAGTCGACCTTGCCGGTGGCAAGTCTGGGGAGTCATATAACGAAAGGGAAGGTGGAGTTGTGGTTGGTAAACGATATTTGCTCCGGATCGCTAACTGGATTGCGTAAAAATAATAAAGTCTACCTGATGACTTTGCAAAAGTCAAGAAATTTCTCTCTTTCTTCAAGGCGAGTCACCTTTTTAATTAGAGCTAATTAAAAAAAAAAAAAATTCTTTATAATCCATTTCTCATTTTCAAAACATTGCTGAGCAAGATTTTAATTTTTCATATATTTTAATTTTCGATAATATTATATTATAATTAATTCACAAAATGAACTCACCATGACTTTGTGATTCACCTTGATGTTTCAAAAATCCAGGTTGCACCTGCTCTTTTTTATCAGACTCCAATTGACTTAGAGTTGAGTCAACATTTTGAAAATTTTGTTGAACATCTTTTTGTTCGTCAATTTTTTTACTTGGCTGCGATAACAATTGCTTATCAACTCCAGGTCCTTGTAAAATACCAGGAACTTGATAGGGATTAGTGGCTTGTGCAAAAAGAATTTTTGTTAAACGCACAGAATCATCGTTTAATTGTTGCGAACGTTGTGGATTTAATTGTTGTCGTTGGAATTGTGCCAATTGTTGTTGACCCAAAAATTGTGGAGAATTTTGTTGTTGAATCAATTCCTGTTGAAGCAATTGCTCTGGACGCAATTCCAATTGAGCGGCATTTATCAATTCTTGATGACGTTGAGCCAACTTTTGTGGATCCAAATGTTGCTGTTGACTCAAGTGCTGCACATTATACAAATGCTGAGACAATTGTATCTGATCCAATTGCTGTTGCGCAAATTGTTGTTTATCAAATAGTTGCTGATTTAATTGCTGTGGATTTGATTGTTGTGGATTACTTTGTAGATGACCCAATTGTTGTGGATAAAATTGCTGTTGATTAAATTGATTTTGACCCAACTGTTGATGATTTAACGGATTTTGACCCAACTGTTGTGGATTCAATTGATTTTGACCCAATTGTTGAGGATTAAACTGTTGTTGATCATACTGCTGTTGATTTAACGGATTTTGACCCAATTGTTGTGGATTCAACTGTTGCTGATCGAATTGTTGCTGATTTAACGTATTTTGACCCAATTGTTGTGAATTCAATTGATTTTGACCCAATTGTTGAGGATTAAACTGTTGCTGATCATACTGCTGTTGATTTAACGGATTTTGACCCAATTGTTGTGGATTTAACTGTTGCTGATCAAATTGTTGCTGACCTAACTGACTTTGACCCAATTGTTGTGGATTCAATTGTTGCTGATTTAACAAATTTTGACCCAATTGTTGAGGATTAAACTGTTGCTGATCAAACTGCTGCTGATTAAATGGATTTTGACCCAATTGTAGTGGATTCAACTGTTGCTGATCGAATTGTTGCTGATTCAACAGATTTTGACCCAATTGTTGTGGATTAAACTGCTGCAAATCAAATCGTTGCTGATTTAATTGATTTTGACCCAACTGTTGTGAATTCACCGGTTGCTGATCAAATTGTTGCTGACCTAACTGACTTTGACCCAATTGTTGTGGATTCACTCGATGAAAACTAAATTGTTGATTTAACAGATTTTGACCCAACAGCGGCTGATCAAATTGTTGTTGATTAAACTGATTTTGACCCAATGATTGTGGATTTAATTGTGGCAAATCAAATCGTTGCTGATTTAACTGATTTTGACCCAATTGTAGTGGATTCACCTGCTGCTGATCAAATTGTTGCGGATTTAACTGTTGTTGACCTAATTGTGGATTCAACTGATTCTGACCTAATTGTAGATTCAATTGACTCTGACCTAATTGTGGATTCAATTGACTTTGCCCTAATTGTGTATTCAACTGTTGAAGATCAAATTGTTGATGATTTAACTGTTGTTGACCCAATTGTGGATTCAACTGATTCTGTCCCAATTGTGGATTTAATTGATTCTGACCAAATTGTGGATTCAGCTGATGTTGATCAAATTGTTGTGGATTCAATTGTTGTTGGCCTAATTGTTGTTGGCCTAATTGTTGATTCGATTGCTGTTGATCAAATTGTTGTTGATTATTCAATTGTTTTTGACCAGTTTGTCCTGGTAAATAATTTTGATCAGAATTTTTCTTCAATTGATCAGAATTTTGTGATACTGAATTTAGTGGCTGGTCAACAGTTAGTATTCGTTGATGAATCGTATGTTGTTTTTGATCATTTTTTTCTAATTTTAATAACTGAGATTGATCAGACTGTTGCTCCGATTGTTGTTGCCTCAGTGGAGTCAATTTTTGACCAAATTGTCCAATTGTTTGCCGTTGAGACAGTAGTGGATTTCTTAAATTTTGTTGCCTCAAAGACTGTTCCAAAGGTGTGTTCTGATTTTGATGATTTATCGAAACTGGTTGATTATTCAGACTTGGGAGCAGTACTTTTTGGTTAGATTGTTGTATTCTTAAAATTGGCCTCAAAATTGGATTATTCTTGGTACTTTCGTAGCTCACTGATTGCGATTGATCCAATTGTTGTTGATTCGATTTTCGAATGTCCAATTGTGGGTGATTCAGTTTTGGTTGGTCCAGTTTGTTCTGATTTAACTGATCCGACTGTTGTAGGTCCAACAGCTTCTCTTGATAATGTTGCTGATCTGAATGTTGGATTCCTAAGGTTTTATGACTAGACTGAGGAGCCGGAGATTCTTGCTTCGAAAGTTGATCGTGAACTGATTTACTTTTTGGTTGATCGGATGAATGCTGCTGATCCGAATGTTGTTGAGCTAATGGTTGCTTATCAGAGTGTTGCTGATCCGAATGTTGTTGAACTAATGTTTGCTGATCCGAATATTTTTTAGCCAATTGTTGCTGAGCTGAATGTTGTTGACTTAATGGTAGCCTATCTGAATGTTGTTGAACTAATTGTTGTTGATCCGAATGTTGTTGAATAATTGGTTGCTGATCCAAATATTTTTGAGTCAATTGTTGTTGATCCGAATATTTTTTGGACAATTGTTGCTGGTTCGAATATTGTTGAGCTAATGGTTGCTGATTCGAATATTTTTGAGCCAATTGTTGCTGATTCGAATATTGTTGAACTAATGGTTGCTTATCTGAATGTTGTTGAGCTAATTGTTGCTGATCCAAATATTTTTCAGCCAATTGTTCCTGATCCTTGTTTTTTTGAGCCAACTGTTGCTGATTCGAATGTTCTTGAGCTAATTGTTGCTGATCCGAATATTTTTGAGCCAACTGTTGCTGCTCCGAATATTGTTGTTCCAATGGTTTCTGATCCGAATCTTGTTGAACCAATGGTTGCTCCTTAATTGCTCCTAATTGTTTTCGATCTAAAACTATTTGATCCGAATGTTCTTGATTCAATTTTTGTTCACCTATCAACGGCTGATCCGAAATTTGTTCGCCTATTCGTTGCTGATTCAATATCACCAAACTTGGTTGACTCTGATCAGAATTCTGTTGACCTAATTGCTGATCCGAATGCTGCTGATCTAAAGGTTGTTGATCCTTATTCTGTTGACTCAATACTTCATGATTCGTGCGTTTTAATTGTTGCAGAAATTGTTGATGATTCAACATTGATTGCTCATGCTCTTCACGTTGATAGGCCAATTTTAATGCTTTCAAATGAGCTTCTCTAGCTGCCATCACTTCAGGTGTATCTTCAACAGCTCGTGGAAGATTAGTCGCCGCTATTTGAAAGCCATGCTCCTCATCGGCCGTATATTTTGCACGTTGAATCACACCATCAGTATCAACATAGCTGAATGATCCTCTCGTTTCACCATTTGCCTGACGAACTTCCGATCTCGCTGATTCTGGTGCACTGTATCCAAAACTATATTGTCCCAAACTATCCTGATAGCCAATGTAAACCGGTGTTTGCAGAGGTTTTTCCAATGACAACACCACCGATGACAGGCAAATTGATATCAGGATTTGCTGCAAAAAAAAAAATCAAAAATTTTTTTTTCAAATCTAGAATGAAACAAAATGACAAATATTATTATTACAACAAAATCACTACCGCACTAAAATATAATTAAAAAAAAATTTCTTTTTTGAATCACTGGAAAAAGGGAATTGATTTGGAAAAATCACTGTGAAAAATTTTAATTTAAATTTTTTTTGCAAATTTTCTTACAAACGTTGTCTTCATGTTGAATTTGTATATAGGAGAGGAGACAGAAACATAATGCAAAATATTTGCGATACTGACAAGTTTATATATGCGAAGAAGAAGGCATCGATGCGTCTCACCCTTCTTTGCTCACCCAATCGTCGTTTTTGCACCTCATCTCATATACCTATATATATATATATAAGCTCATACCTAAACGAGCAAAGACGATGAGGACCCAAAGTAGTTTGTAAAACTGGTATTTACAATTCAAGGTCAATTTTATGTCGAAGAAGGCGAGGTACTTGACGATGAAACCAGACCATTTGCTTCTTCAAATAATGCATTTTCAAAAGTTTCTTTTTTTTCTTCTTCTTCTTCATTTTCTTTTTTGTTGTGTGCTGGATGATAAAAACGTCACATCGCATCAAAAAAATAGCCTACTTGAATCCTCATTTTATTCTCAAGGATATTCTTTGGGTCAGATAATATAATATAAAATGTATACACACACATATATGCCTTTTTGGATTTTTCAAAGAAAAGACTTGGGTTACTAGAACATAAATTTTGTATTCTTTTTCAATTTTCATGGGCGCAACACCACCACTGATAAGGTATAATTTATTCAAAGGCTGTAAATCTCTTCAGGAAATTTAATGTTTAGACGTTTGGAATATTGTGTGAAATTAAAGTCAGGTATTTTTTAAGGAGGGAAAAATGTTTTACACTCGAAATTGTGTCTTGTTGAAAAGTTGTCTTCGCCAAAATTTTGTTCTTTTATTTTGGCTTCTCATTTTTCTTCTCCTCTTCTTCTTTTTCTTCTTCTTCTTTTGTCGCTTCTTTCACAATATTATTCATATTATTTTTTTATTTATTATAATTTTAATTATTAATTTTAAATGATTATTATTTATTCTCCTTACGCCCGGAGGAATATTTTATTCGCATTTAATTGGGACAATTAAAATTTGAAACAAATAAAATTTATTTAAAGCAAATAAAAATATATTTGTTTCAATATTTCTGATAAATACTATCAAAAGAAAACCACAATATTTTCGTTTGAAATCAATTTATTTTGTATGCTTTCGAAAATCCAAAAAATCTCTTCATTATATTTATTTACATATATATTTGTTAAAAAGTATCATAAACAATTTTTTTTATTACATTTTTAATATTATTACACAACATTATAATTATTGCCTAATTTTTATTTATTTTTATTAATGCAGCTTTACAATAATTTCACTAGAAAATAATTTTCCTCTCCACGAAATTTTGAAAATACTTTTTTATTGAAAAAAAGCTATTCTATTCTTTTTAAAAAAAAATTATTTCTTCTTTTAATAAAGACCAAAAAAAAAATTACTGCACGTCTGAAGAAACACCATCAACCACACGACTATTGTCATTGACCAAACGAACTTTTTCAGCCAATTGTGCAATCACTTGTTCGGCACGTGCAAGTCTCACTTCAGAATTATCCAAAACACGTCCATCATCCAATGCAACGACAGTTGGTACAACTTGATTTGAATGAACAATATGAGAGACATCAACGCCAATGGGTACAACTCCATTGATAAGTGTACCAACTGGTGTGAAAACAGATGTCACGGGGAAATCAGCCGATCTCACTGCTTCATTAACTAAATTAATTCTCTCATTTAAATGTGCAACAGCGTGTTCGGCTTTTGCTGCAACAACTTCCGGTGTATCCACAACTCGGCCATCGACGCCAACATGTGCTCCTGGTACCAATGACGTCACACCAATTGATATCGCCGATGTTGATTCGGCCATTAACATTGCGACAAGACCAAATGCAATGGAGAACATTTTGATTTCTGTTTTGTCTGGAAAATTCAAAATAAGGGGAAAAAAATTATTAACAAATAAAAATATTGAATTATTGAAAAATTATTTATACATATATCCATAGCAACTGGTAGCATAGTAACTAAATGGTACCGTAGTAACTGGTAACAAAGTTACTGGTAACAAAGTTACTGGTACCAAAGTTACTGGTACCATAGTAACTAATTGGTACCAATGTAACTGTTACCAAAGTTACTGGTACCATAGTAACTGGTACCAATGTAACTGGTACCAATGTAACTGGTACCAAAGTTACTGGTACCATAGTAACTGGTATCAATGTAACTGGTACCAAATTTACTGGTTCCATAGCAACTGGTACCAATGTAACTGGTACCAAAAAACTGGTACCTTAGTAACTAATTAGTACCAATGTTACTGTTACCAAAGTTACTGGTACCATAGTAACTGGTACCAATGTAACTGGTACCAAAGTTACTGGTAGCTTAGTAACTAATTGGTACCAATGTAACTGTTACCAAAGTTACTGGTACCATAGTAACTGGTACCAATGTAACTGGTACCAAAGTTACTGGTACCATAGTAACTAATTGGTACCAATGTAACTGTTACCAAAGTTACTGGTACCATAGTAACTGGTACCAATGTAACTGGTACCAATGTAACTGGTACCAAAGTTACTGGTACCATAGTAACTAATTGGTACCAATGTAACTGTTACCAAAGTTACTGGTACCATAGTAACTGGTACCAATGTAACTGGTACCAATGTAACTGGTACCAAAGTTACTGGTACCATAGTAACTAATTGGTACCAATGTAACTGGTACCAAAATAACTGGTATCAAAGTAACTGGTACCGTAGTAACTAATTGGTACCAATATAACTGTTACCAAAGTTACTGGTACCATAGTAACTGTTACCATAGTAACTGGTACCAAAGTAACTGGTACCAAAATAACTGGTACCAAAGTAACTGGTACCGTAGTAACTAATTGGTACCAATATAACTGTTACCAAAGTTACTGGTACCATAGTAACTGGTACCAATGTAACTAGTACCAAAGTAACTGGTACTAAAATAACTGGTACCATAGTAACTAATTTGGTACCAATATAACTGGTACCATAGTAACTGGTACCAAAATAACTAGTACCATAGTAACTTATTTGGTCCCAATGTAACTGGTATCATAGTAACTAATTTCGTACCAATGTAACTGGTACCATAGTAATTGGTACCAAAGTAACTGGTACCAAAATAACTGGTACCAAAATAACTGGTACCATAGTAACTAATTTGGTACCAATGTAACTGGTAAAAAAGTAATTGGTACCATTGTAACTAATTGGTACCAATGTAACTGGTACCATAGTAACTAATTTGGTACCAATGTAACTGGTACCAAAGTTAATGGTACCATAGTAACTGTTACTATAGCAACCGTTTTAATTGTAATATTTAATTGTAATATTGAAGAAACTCGAAAGAAAAATGATAATACAAAATTTGATGAAAAATTATTTTTATAATATATATATATAGTAGATTTATAGATTTAATAAATAAATACCTTTTTTCCTCTTGTATGATCACAATCAAGTTTGCTACTACTTCTGATGAATTCAGCAAAGATTCATGTGATTTTATACCCTTAACGTCTTAACGATTGTGTAACTTTTATTTTTTTTTTTCGTGATGAAAAAAAAATCGCACACACAGTAAGTTTAGAAAATTTATATTATATTATCGATAATCGAAAAATATTGTGGTATTGTAAAGATTATCGTTACATCTATTTCCGTCTTTCGCCCTTTTTTTGTTGCATCAAGGTTAAAATATATGTAAAACGAGTAGTTGAACTGATATTTATATATAGTATATATATTTTTTTTTTATTCAATTACAAAATAAGAAGATGATCGGAAAAATCATTGCCTTGCAATGAATACGATACCGTTTTTGTCCTTTCCAACAAATTCAACCTCGAATGGTCGAAGGTTTTTTTTTCTGTATATAGTAATAATAAAAAAAAAAAATTCTATATTTAATCATACAAATCCGTCTTCTTATAAGCTTAATGGATATCTGATTACATTTATGTATATATTACAGAATTTTCTTTTTTTTTTTTTAATGCAGAGTGGGGGAATTATTTAAGGAAATTATTTTGTGATATTCATTTAGTTGCAATATATCACTAATGAATGAAAAACAAGATTTTTGCATTTATTAATTTGTTATTAATATAAATGGTGGATTTTTACGTTCCGGATCCCTTAAAAAATTTTTTATTCTCGTTTTTTAAAGTAATGGACTTAAAAATTTTAGGGGGTCCGGAACTTAAAAATCACTTTATTAATTAATTAAAATATAATTGGAATTTATCGTTTATTCGACATTGAAAAGAAGATGTAAAAATGCAAAAGAATAAAAATTTTTTTTGAAGATGTGATTTAATTAAAATAAATTTATTTATTTATATTTCTAAATGTAAGACGAAAAAAAAATTGGATAAAATATTCGATATTATCGAAAAAAAAATTGAATTTATATTTATATTATTCACTCATTGTCTATTTTTTTATAAAATAAACGTAATATGAAAAAAAAGTGCCAACGACAATACAAATACTACGACTACTACGAAAAAAAAAGAGAAAAAGAAATTCATCAATATTAATGAATAAATATTTTGTGGGCGCGGTGCAATTATATTTATTCACCAAAGCTGATTATTAATTTAATTCTCTATTTTATCTGAATCGCAATCTTTGTCTGATATTTTATAAACATTGATCCTCTCGATACAATAATCGATAAATTTTATCATCAGTGTCCTTAGTCCTTTCTTCAAATTAAAAAAAATTTCTTTTTAAAAAAACGGAAAAATTGATTGTAATTTCTTTTTTGGAAAATTTGAATATTTCTCTTCACAATATATAAATCAGGGTCGATGCAACGTATAAAGGACCTCGTTGAATGTGTTTTACTCTCTTTTCAAGGTAAATGGTTAATTGCATATTTAAAAACTGGTTTCTTTCACTTATACAAATAAAGACATAAAACACGATATTAATTTCTAAATGAATAATTCAATTAATAATATTATTATTAATAACAAATAAATTAGAAAAAAAATAATTAATTGAACTATAACAATTTAAATAATAAATTTTTAATTGAAAATTAGAATTTTTATTTAAAAAATAAATTTTTGAAAATTTCGATTATTTTCCAAAATTTTAATACTTCCGTATTTGTAGGGAAAAAAATTTTTGATCTGAACAGGTAGGCG